GTTATAACGCCCCACGGCTGAAAAGGCGAGCATGTTTGGTGTGATGGGGATTCGAACCCGCGAACCTCAGATTCCGAGTCGAGCGCCCTAACCACCTAGCCATGCCTGGCCCTATTCTTATGAAAGCGAAACTACTCCGTGGTCTTTGGGCTAACCTTAACCAAACTGGGTAGGATAATGTAACATATTAATATTAGTCATTTCCCATACACATAGCCCACAAAACAAACGTTCTAAATTCCTCAAAAAATTTTTTTAATAATTGAGTGGGTTGGCTGCTCTGAGCCGCCGCCGCCCCCTCACCCACCAATTGACGCCATTGTTCTTCGGACGATTTTATTTACGTATTTCCATATAATTTTATTAATGACCCCAAAATTCAACCTTTTCATTTTAGGTACACTTTTTCTAAAATCCATTTCCTTCTTGCCAAACCTAAAACTAGCCTCAGCTCAAACTCGCTATTTCGTTGGGATCTCCAGGGAAATAGACGTTTATTAAGACAATTTTTATGTTTAAATACTCGGGATTTGGGAAAGGCTGCTATTGTATGTAAATTCATCTCTCTAGCCCTTTAACAATCTGAAACAGATTGAGATGAGTAGGAGATCGAACTAGACTTTAATATTCTATAAAAACGTGTGATTGGGGTTATTTATTGAGTAGACCTCATTCGTATTAAAATATATATATACCACTTTATTCGGGAAATAAAAACGCATTTTCTAGAGTGTGTTGGCCTGGCATAGCTAAGTGCAGTGGTTCTCAAAGTGTGGTCCGCGAAACCACTGGTAGATCAGAAGGTCCTCTAAGTGGTCTGTGGGATGGTCCAAAATGCAAGTCGCTGATGAGTTTTTGAGGGGTGGCAAGCGAAAGTGGTGGGGTAGGACCGGTAGGTGGTCCGCGGTGATCTGCGAACGAAAAAGTTTGAGAAAACTGTTTTTAGTGGTTAAAGCGTTCGACTCGCATTGTTTGAGCCGAGGGATCGAACTCAACACCGAACCTGCTCGTCCTTTCAGCCGTGAGGGAATTATAAAGGTACGGTCAATCCCACTATCTGTCTTCCCTCTATTTTATCATTTCGAAATCAAGGACAGCTAGCGCAGGTAACCTTCGTCCAGCTTTGCGCGAAATTCAACAAAGCATGCAACTCATGACTTTGTTCTCCACGATATATCACAATTTTTAGAACAATAGTCTACTCGAAAGAAGAAGGAGAGCAAAACCTTCATATCCACTGAAACTTAATACGGAATATCTTGAACAGGTGTTTCAGGAATCAACGACACACCAGTAATGGTGGTTACAATCGTAAAGATATAGTCTTCTTGTTAGCACATTTCACTTCCGAGTTACAGCTTTCAGAAAATTTTCCCAAGAACAATAACTTTAGGGAGACACAAATGAGAAACAAGTCTCCTAACTAAACAGAATATAATTGTTCATATGTTCTGTTGTTTTTCTTTTACTTCATTGTAACACCTCAGTTACTTTCTTTTTCCCTACTAGTATTTCAGCGTTTAGTCTGACGGCTTATTACGCTACAAACTGGGTTTCGATACCAGTTTTGATCACAACATAGTTAGCCATTGTGCAGTTTTGCACTTAACATCAAACAAACGGTTACACTTTCAATATTCAAAATTTTGTTTTATTTCTTTTTTTCCTAATTTGAAGTACGTGTATTATTTTACGTTCTCTGTTATTAAAATTTCAAATTTTACGGAGTAATATATTACTTGCTCTTTTTTGTTCGTGTATTTATACATATATATATATTCCATTTACAGGTGGGCTTTTGGAAATGCATGAACGAAACGCTAGAAGGTAATTGTTTCAACTTTATTTTAATAATTGTTATAAATCTGTTTTGAATGTATTTTACCAAAGATTGTATTTTATTTCATATGTTCACTATATATTCTGGTGTGTTTTCTAGTATTCAAGTTTTTGTTTTGTTTCTCAAGTACCTGTTTTTTATTCTCTTCTTTTTATCTTAATTGGATTTTATTCAACGCTCAACTAACTTTTCAAGCGAATGAACTAGGATCAAACGCATATCTTAATTTAATAGTATAACCCGAATAAGACTCTAACCTCAACTACATGTATATTAGGTAAAATATTAGCTGAACCACTTATGATACTTTTTGAAACGAGTAGATGCTTTTATGCAAAATAACAGACTAACTGTCGATATAGGTTTTTCTTAATTAACAAATTCTATTTATTTTACTGATCATAGGGACTAAAATTTAACTTAAAAGACAGGTAATTAAAGCTTTGAATACGAGACATAGAAAGTCCATACAATTAAAATTTTATGACGAAATAAACATGATACTTAAGTTCAAGGATTTTCATTTTAGCGCCTCTGTGACCTAATGTGATACAAAATATCACTAAGTTACACAAGATGATATTAATTATTACCAATATAACTACCTTTGTCGAGTATTTTTAACCTGTCTTTAAAGGTCTTTTAAGATAGAACACAGTATGTAAATGAATTTTTGTGTGATTCAACAACGTCAGTTGTAAAACTTACAAGTGAAAATGTTTTCTGTCAAGTCATTTTGTCCAGCATGTCTTCTAAAATACCAAGCTGAAAAGCTCCGAATTAAAATGACCTAAGCTAGTTGGAAATATAGTTAAATATGGAGTGACCAGAAGATCATAGACCATAGAAAAAATTATGAACGAAGTATGTTGTGTTTAGAATATTCTTTGCTATTTGTAAATCAGTAAACAACCACATTTCATCACAAAACTTTTGTCCCCCCCCCAGTGGCTCAGTGGTATGTCTGCGGACTTATAACGCTAAAAACCGGGTTTCGATACTCGTGATTGGTGCAGCACAAATAGCCCATTGTGTAGCTTTGTGCTCAACTACAAACAAAGACAAAACTTACCAAGTAATTTTCTAATTCTCATATGTACTGTTATTTCACATACGTATAAACAAAATAGAAAAAAATATATACCCAAGAAATAGGAAAACTGTTCGTATTTTTAACGCAAACGGCACCTTATATGACAAGAAGACTATATATGGCCAGCTCAGCACCTCTTAATGTCCAGACATAGCCATCTCTAACTTATAAGTGCTAATCAGACTGAGGGAAACCAGTTAGCAGTAGTCACCGCCTATGTGGCAACTCTTAACGCCAACAACTGAAAGTGCGGGACGTGCTCAGAAACATATCTCGGTTCGAGCCTTGGACCTTCCGTCCGCAGTCCAGCACACTGACCATTAGTCTATGCCTAGTCGAAATATAAAGGAACCATTGTCAACAGTTTGTCTTAATGAAGGTCAGGTCGTGATCAATTTGGATTAATTTTTGGATAGAAATATAAATGAACATTTTTGTATCTTTTGTCTTTTTTCTCTGTCTCCAACCTATGTTGAGCCACCATGATCTTATGACTTATATCAGATTTCAGAGTGAATTCGATCAAGTGTACACGTGTATTTCGTTTTGTGTGAAATGCATGTTACGAATATCATTCAGCGTAACTGTTTGTTTTGTATTAATATGTTTATCATATAAGCGTATAAGAATTTCACCATAGTGTCGTGTTTGTTGTAGAACACTTGGTAACGTGATACTGTTTCCCGGTGGGCCAATGGTAAGTTTACGGTCTTACTACCCTTAAATTGGGGGCTCGATTCCTGCAGCAGTCAGATCACAGATAGTTCACTTATTGTTACTTTCCACTAAAAACAACAAAAACAGATGATGCTGATTTAAATAAAATTGAGAGTTTTTCTTTATAATTTTAATTCTTTTAAATCTTATAAGCATATTTCTGTATTTCTAAATTTGTTCTTTTTCCACCTGTGGTGTATTTTTCTGGTGTACACCTACACGTCTTAGGGACCTCATCTATCGATGTAACTCTTCACCAGTAGGAAATCTATTGAGGTTTATCATGCGCGAAGTTACTGCCCTCAGGGGAAAATGACTGCTTTATCATGTGTGCTTATAGATGCGAGATTCAGTATCATGTTACTTCCACACATTGAACCTTCAAGCATGTCAACTTACTGTTGTGACTGCCACATTGCTAGTATAAAATATTTTGTTTTAGAAAAACTATCATTTTATTTTTCATCCCCTTCTAGTTTTTTTATTCCTTGTCTTTTTCTTTAGTGATTGGTTTATCTGGAATCTGAATCCGAGGATTCAAACGCGATCGCAATTTGAGGCTGTGAGGCGTTATAAGAGTGACAGTTAAATTCCATTATTCGAATAGACAATAAGAGCCCAAAAGTGGGCGGTGGGTGTTTTTGATAGCGGCAAGCTGCCTTCCCTTTAGTTTTATAGCTCCAACTTAGGGACCGCTATACGTAGATAACCCTTTGCGCAAAATTCTGAAATAGACGAACTATTTTTTTCGGCGCTTCTGTATTAACATATCCAAACGCTATTAAAATCATTATTTTTTTATTAAAATAATCAAACATAAGTTATTCTGTTTGCAAATGTTCATTCCATATTTATTCTAATATCATCATTTTACAATTCTCTGTGAATATGTTACTTCTCCAGAAATGTTTGCACTTTCTTTCTCTGAATGAGTGAATCTATGTGTTTACTTACATATAAATATTCAGTTTGCGTGCCCTTATTTGCAAGTGAAACAAAAATGTTTTGTGGAGAACATTTTATGTAGGACTGGAGATGAAATGTTTAGTTAAATTCTTAAGAAACGACTGGGCATTGTTCCACGTAGCTTCTTGGTATTAGGTATCACTAACAAATAAAAGGGTCAAATAAGGACGTGTGGTGGATATTTCAACAAAATAGTTGTTTACGTAATGATCACGCGATTGTCTTGTGGAAGATACGACGGAAGGTAAAAGATCCGACGTTTCACCGTTTCCAAAAAACACGAATGAAGTGTTGGACCTAAACAGTATCTAATTTTGTTTTCTCGAATTTTGATACGAATCAAGTGAATATTCCAGGTTTTCAAGACTGATTACTGTAAACTCTAAATAGTTCAATGTGCTAGTATTGGAAGGTTTCATTTTTTGCTAGGGCAATATTTTTTGATTTTGCAGATTCACACCGTATTCCATTACTTATTACTTTTTGATTTTGCAGATTCACGCCGTATTCCATTACTTATTACCTTTTGATTTTGCAGATTCACGCCATATTCCATTACTTATTACTTAATTGAACTTATTCGCTTGAATTCTTCATTTTTTTACTCGTTTTTTAGCTAAATGTAACACTTAAAATGAATTAAATCATCTTTACCAGTGTGTTGGATAAAGCAACTTTATTTAGAAATAAACGTTTGTATAAAATTTGGCTACTATAATGCATGAATAGTGTTTTAGCCCCTTTTTTTATGTTTTATTTCTTCGTTTTTCTTCATGAATATCGAGATAAACAACTGAAGAACTTGAAAAGAAAAAATTAGAAAAATCATCTTTTCTACCTCTTAGTTTTTCGAAATACCAAGACTATGTTTCAATTTTGTTTTAACTTACATACATTATAATTGGCTTCTTATGAGCTATCCATATCAGTTCAAAGGTTCCTCTCATATAGTGTGCTTTACCATATATAAAAATCATATATGATAAAGATCAAGACTATCTACCCATAACTACTAGGCTGAGAATGTTTGTTCAAGATAAGTTTTCTTGTTAAACATCGTTAACGTTTGATGTTAGTAAGAACAGGGTGCAAACTACAGAAGTTATTCATTGTTTGTACCAACTATTGTTTGCGTGCATAATCAAGAAAGTGCAGTTAAGCAGCACTCGTTTTATTGACAGGACTGACTTTCACTATTATAACGCTTCCCAAGCAGAAAGTGTAATACATGTCCTGTGGTACATCGTGACGTGAACCTAGGACTCTTAAGTCCCCAACCCGGCACGTTAACCACTAAACACTCACAGTCCTAATCTATTGTTACATTTTCCATTTTATAACCCGAAGCTTTAATATTTCGTGAATGGAAGACGCCTTCCAATTTCATTGTAAGAAACATCCGAGAATAATAAAATCTTATTTAAAACTGATATCATTATGTTAAATAATAGTTTAAAAAAGGAAATCAAGGAACATATGTTCTTCTAAACCTACAGGAAAAATTAAATGCTTTCAAACGCTCAATATACACCGAAAGTTGGTTTTGCAGACTGAGTCTTTAGCAGCAGATGGCGCATTAAAAACAAGAACATATTTATATGATAAAGCTTACTCTGCCCACATTTAGTTTGTATACATATTTGGTTATTTTATCACGGGCGTGACGGGTGGGCTAAAGAAATAAGCTATCCAGAATTTATCGTGTATTGTTTTGAACGTTACCAAGCTTTACAGACAATGTAATTACCGCGGTTGTGTTTCAGCTTGTTGATAGGCCTAGGGCGGAGATCATCTTGCGATTTTGATTGAGTGCAATTAAACTAAATGGCAACCGGTTGCTATGACGACAAGAAAGATTCATTAACAGATAACTCAGCGGAACAACAGGAACTTGCAGAATACCAAATCGTACAAAAGTAGTCTCAGCCTACACAAGTATTACTTAATCGCTGTTATTAACAACTTAAATATCCTCGTATTGCATATAGAAACAACTTAGAACTATCCTTCTGCTACTATCTCTCTCTCTCTCTTTCAATATTAAGCATTTATACAAAACATAAGTATCACTATACTAACAATAGCTGCATAATATGTTCGTGTACATCAAGAACTGTTACTTAACAACTTAGAACTGTAGTGTTTTAAGGTATCAGCATATGTCCTATCATACTGTTAAACTCGTTACTGGGTTGTAGGAATTTTGAAAGTTGGCACGCGGTCCTGAAACATTAAATTCTTTTCTGAAGTGTAAACTGAAACCAGGATTACAGCTTCGGATTCCGCCCGGTTTTAGCTTTCACGTGTAACAAAACCTCGTTTCCAACTGGTTGCAAAGAAGCATTCTCCACAAGAAAAATATTTTTATGTTTTTCTTGTCTACCAAACGTGCATTAAATTTATTACTGAATGAAGTGTTCGAAAGAACGGGCAGTGTAAGTTTTCTCCGTAGTCGTATTATATGTCTTATTTTACTTACAGCCTTTATCTGTTGAAAAATTTGGTTTGCGAGAAAGAAAGTACATCAGAGTAATGAAAACTTGTAACGAGAATTTTATTCTTACAGTTAGTAACAGTTAGTTACTTTAAAATGATAAATTGTCTTTAAAATAAGGTTTCTGTGGAGTAATGACAAAAAATAATTGTTTCTTAAAGAGAAACGTTACTAGTAAGACAGCTGCCTTTTCTTCAGGATTAAGCAGTACTTACGTGGTCACTAAATCAGTTTTTTATTACAGATGTTCAAAGCGTCAGCCACCAATATCAATAAATGTGTGACGCCAATTGACAACTGATATGCACGATTTTTCGTATAGATCTGGATTTATAATCTGAATTTCTGTGCTGATTTGTTGGCGAAGGATATCTAATTTGGGTAGCTTCGCACTTGAACACGTAAATACCCCCCCCCCTATGAAAATGTCACATGAAATTAAACAGATTTAGGTATCCATGTTGGGGGGGTCGTTATTACTCACCTTTCATTTTGTTGCTTCTATCGTTTACAATTTTGGTGTATTCATTCGATGTTCTACTCAATTTTTAGTTTCGTTTAAAACGTACACAGGTTAAAGAAAGCACTTTCACTGTTTTCAATGTAATTACACCGATATTAACCTGAAATGCCATATCGTTATTTCTTTCTATGATATGAACGACAGTACTAGTCACACTAATTAGCAATAACGATTGAAATGCCTCTTGTAAGCACGTAATGAGAAAAGGACAAACGCTAATCAATAACTATTACTGTTGGAACAGAAGTGGATCGTGGAGCGGATTGGGTCGGACGTCCGTGTTGCAGCGTTCCCCAAACAGCGGGTTGTAGACTAGCCTGTTTAAAGGTAGGTTCAACGAATATTCTGAAGGAATCAAATGATATAAGATATTTGATCTGTTTTCAGACATAAGGAAGCGAATGGTCTATTTGTTTAATAAAAATAATTTCACTGACTGGCTATTTTATTAGGATCCCTATCTTCTTGCGACAAACACTCTAAATTCTTGCACTTGCAGAAGAGACTGATTGTGTGATAAATTAACCTTGTAAATGAAAAAATTCCGACAATAACAGTTAACCTAAAATATTTAGGAGTGGACGTGCCAGTGAACGTTCATTTAACACGGGTGTCATTTGCAGATCATTTCTGTGATTGACGGTTCAGATTAAGTTGTCATTAGATCATATCACGATTGCCAATCGATACGGAACATATTTCCTACTTGGGAAAACTGGACACAAAAATATCTTCTGCTAGGAAAAACTGTGGCTACCAACTAGTGGTAACTGACCAAGGCAATAATGGCGGAATAGAATTGTTAAGTGCACCAGACAGTAGATAAGTGACTCAAAAGTGACCATGATTCAAATGTAGACAAGAAAATATGTCTTTTAGTGGTGCTTAGAATGCAAACTGTTAACAGTGGGTGATTGGAAATGTGTTGGTGGTCTGATGAATCATTTATACTCCATTAGAAAGGAAATATAACACCCGGAATATACCTGACAGTTGTTATTGATGAAATGCACCTCATAATGGTGGATTTCAACATGATGGACAAAGACTCGTGTAATATGGTGCTGTAACAATTCACAGTGCTCGTGTTGTTCAGTGTTGTTTCCGAGAAAATTACAACAATTTAAGCCATTATTTTTAGCCTGTGCATTAATAAATTAGGCAATTTTTGAGTAAGCTTGAACATCACATTTGAAAAAATTTTTGTTCATATTTTTGAACGACTGGGTTACTATCAAACAATAACCGTTAATGCATCTTTTAGAGGCTTTGCAACACTAATTACAAGTTGTTTTCCTGTTTTTGAGGCAAAAGGTGGTTGAATTCAATATCAGGTAGAAATCCTGGTAAAATGGCTAGTCAATGCCTTACGTTAAATCTAAAAGGAAGTTTTGTTACAGATGCGTGTTAAGTATGAATATACAAACCAAAACTTGAAGTTAAGTGTCTCATGGTTTGAGTTATACTATTTAAATGATGCAATATAGATATTCATTGAGATATTTGAATCTTTGAATGTTGATCGAATTTTAACATCAAGCGTTTCATACGAAACTTTAACCAGCAAATTATCAAAACTAGGAAATATAACAGAAAAGGGATCAAAAGTAAATGTGTTAAAGTTATTTTGATTAAAGATGATTTAATAATCCATTCTTGAAGTAACAATCCTGTGTTCTTTCTTGATTGATGTTTTATAGTAACATTGTAAGTTATAGTTTTTAGTTTTTGTTTATATAAGTAATTAAACAAGTTTATCCAAAGTGTTACCATGTCATTAAACTAAACATCACCTGAAGGTGGTTTTTACAGCAATAGTCTTAAAATGCAAAGTGATGAAATTGATATTTTATTTTATTTGTTTAATTTCTTTTCAAAAAACAAACACCTATTCAAAATGTTCTAAAAAATAAAAAATATGATAATTAACACATAAGTTCCTTTTAAACCAGGACAAATATAACTGCTAAAAATTGAACTAAGAAAATAATAATTTATTCCATCATTTTATTTAGTACCTTTTGTATTTCAAGACTACCAGATAAAATTCCCCACAAGATAAGTCTCTAAAGAACGCATAACTTTGTTATCATATACTCATGTGTTACTGATATACCAAAGGTCTGTGACACTATTATTTACTATCATCAGAATGAACTAGTTGAACCTTAAATGATATTCATTTTTGTTCATATATAATATGCTTTCAAGCTGAAAGGAAAATAACACTACCAGTATTTCTAAATATCTGTATACATTTAAGTACATATAATAAGCTATATATTTAAGAAAAATAATATAAAACGCTTCTAGTAATTATTGCATTATTTGTGTCAGATACTGATGTTTGATTATGTTACATGTGAAACCATATTTTTTCGTCTTACCCAGGCCCAGTCTCGTTCTGAAATTTCTGGTACCTGTCGCCGTAGTGACGAAATTTCATTTTACTTTTGTGTTGAGAGACAAGAGGGTAGGTGAAATACGTACATTGGATACGTTTTACATTTCACTTCTGTAATTTTATATACACGTGTATTGCTTAACCGTACAGACTAAATAAGAGTCTTAGGTCAGTGATTGAAGTGTGTATTGGATGTTCTAGCTATTAATAATTACTAATAGACATAAGGTAGCCAGCATTCTAATAAAAACTTAATTATGTAAAAGTTAAATAGAATTTCAGAAAATATTTTAAATTTGGTGTCTGCTGAATGATTAGTAATCATGCCATTATGTTCAACATAAGCTATATTTAAAACTTGAAACTTCTTAGAATGATTAGATTACATTGAACGTTAAGGTATGTCCACTTGGTGTTGTTGATACTTTCAACCGTAACCTCAAGCAAGTTAATCCTAGAATGTTAATCCTAGTTAATCTATAGCAGTATTTACATTATCTATACGTGCAATTAGCACAGTAACAGAACGTACATTTATTATAATACGTATTAGTATTATTTCATAATAGGTACACACATACAAGTTTTATAAATATGCGTGAATATCCATCAATTTATTTGCACAGATATTATCACGATATATAGATTTATATACATTATAATGCCTTTACACATTATATATATTCCAGTTTGTTTATCAAAATGCTCACACACTATCAATATATATGTATTATATATTTACAAGTGTAGCTATCACAATATTTACAGGTACACTATCAGTACATACATATATGTATGTACTGATAGTATATATATGTATGTACTGATAGCATATATGTATGTACTGATAGTATATATGCTATCAGTACATACATATATACTATCAGTACTACTATTTACTTATGCAGCTAAGACGAAAGGCAGTCCTTCTATTAAAGCGGATACAGGAAAGAGTTTACATCCACCGATTTTCTTAACTAATTTAATATCCTGGTCAAGGACCACATGAAAGTGAAACTTGCGTGTTTTTTTAAAGCCAGGCTATGAGAAGCATTTCTGGACTTCGTTCGAATGTAAACATTGACGTGTGTTTGTTTGCGCAAACTGCGGCTCTTTAGATTTAAACGGTAAAGCGTTGATCTCCTAATGTACGAAACTTCATTCTTCCAAGTGGAAAAAAAGTAGCATTCACTCGCATTGGTTGATGGAAGTCAATCTAAACACGGTTGGATAGAGACAAGTTGCTTTCAGCGGGCACTTAAATCTATAACTGATACTTAGCTGTCAGGTAAATGTTGTAAGTGTAAACTTTCTCAGTTTTTGTTTAGAAATTCGCACTAAATCGAACTGAAATTGTTTTCGTGAAGAAGAATGCTGATAAAGAATGGTGTACTTTGCAGTTGGAGAGTCGTGTTGTCAACAGTCTAAACGATCGGAATGCCGTAAAGCTTGTTGGGAAGTGTTTCGTTCTGCCATGACCCCCAGCAAGACAATTAGAGAAGCAGTGTTCAATCAGTGTGCACAGCACAGTCCACAAGTCCTACGTTGTCTCCGTAATTACACACATACCACACCTGCTGATAATCCCACCCGTAGTAAGTATAGTCTTTGGAACAGTAAAAACGTGCACAGAATTGGAAATTATTTATATCCCAATAAATACATGCATACAATATAAGTTGACATGATGTTTAACACCGATTTTTTAAAAGTATTGACGAGGTTTTCAGATCATTTAGTATGATAAATAAAATCACTTTATTGCCTCATTTAATCTATATTCTCTGAGACTAAGTATCATGTTTTATCTATTCTTTTGTGACATACTTTGAGTAAGTTGTTCATTTGAATCTGTTTTAATCGAACGTGGTTGCAAGTTCTTAGACACACAGCCACAGACTGTACTGGCGATAACCTAAGGTATGTACAAACTTAAATCGGGCATTCGTAGAAGATTATGTCGGCAACCTATTTTTGTAGTTCAAGAAAAATGGTCCATTATTGATGGCCCATTGTTGACCGAAATTTGAGATTTATTACTGTTTTTTTTTGTGTGCGTTTTTTTCGTAATATACAAAAAATAATTTTCCTTTCAGTTACAAAGGTCCAATAATAGATCGAGAGATAGACCACGTCTAGTAGCCAGTTTAATACCTTGCCGTATTCATGCTAACTGAAGCAAAATAGTTTAAATCAGTGGAAAATTTTCATCGTATTTTTAATGTAAAAGCATGTATTATTTTTAAAATGGCATGCGTTTTAAAAATACCCAATTCGCGATTGGATTGCCTTTTTATTTATCAGCGTTGTCTTTAATACGGGTCGACTAAACAATATTTATTTCTGATCTTAGTGGGAATTTTTGTGTTATTTTCAACAAATAATATTGTACAATTAAGTTGAAACTTGATTATATGCAAAGATTTCGTGAAATTAATTTGTAAGTAAGTAATGCAGCTGCAGAAGGCACTTGTCTATATAACAACATATTATTATTGAATCTTGTTATAATAGTAAAACTACTAAGGATATCGCTGATGTCCCTAATTTTGGGCTACTGACTAGACGAAATGGGAAAACAGCCAATGAGAAGAACCTTAACACCAACCATCTACCATAACGAATTGACTATTCCTTTTATAACGCAACCATATCTAAAAGTGCGGGAAATATTTTTTTGGTATTGTACGGATTTGAAACAGGCTTGCCAGTTCCAAAATCCAGATCTATTCTACCACAGATCCAACCTGAACCATACATTATTATGGTATATAATGTCTTATGCAGGCAGAGCATGATTATAGATTGATTATTTTTGTGACGTTGAATCACAATATATCTGGTAACAACTTTTAACAAATCTTTCTTTTCTGGCACTGTGCGGGTTTCCAGTAAGAATAACTTGTGTTCCAGAAACATCGCTGCCTACGAAGCCTTTAGTTCATTACCACAGCTCATCAAGTTGGATAGGTATGCAACATACAAAGCCTCTGTCGAAACTCTATTTATATCAGTCACTTTTTTCATATCAATTATCATGAAATATAATGGTTTATGCCGGCGAAACGTGATCAAAAATCAGTTGTTTGTGTGACATTATCACAATAGGATTATAATAACAAATCCTTCATTACAGGACCTGCATGGATTTCCAGCAAAAAGAACATGATAGCATACCCAGCCGACTTGATGAGCTGCACATAAGTTATGCGGTCAAGGTTCAGTTACATTTGTTTTTACTGGAAACACATATAAAGTCACTAAAAAAAAAAAAGGCCCGGCATGGCCAGGTGGTTAGGGCGCTCGACTCGCAATATGAAGGTCGTGGAAGTTTGTAATGCGGAAAAAAATTATTATACTTTTTAACCAATTGTAATAGAAAATGAAGAATAATAATAATTATCCAATGTTTGTTATGGCGGAAGGCATAATCATGTTCGAATAAAGCCTTTATATAGATGTCGCTTTTCACCAGTTAGAGGAAGTCTGTAGCCGCCTTGAAATTGCTGGCTGTTGTATACCTGGCTGTCCTCCTGGCTTAACTCTAATAGCTGCAAGAAAGTTTCACACATTATATTTTCGATGGAAATCTTTCGTAAGACAGAGATTGCAAATAGTAATCAATAAAAAATTATCATTAATTAACCAAGTGGAAAACGATGTTTTATTATAAATATTAAAAACACGGTAATACCAAAAAGCATCTTTAATTAAGGACATTTAGGAATTTCTTCAAATTCCATCATCAGCGTTAAACCCTCAAAAAAGTTCATTCACAATATTCTGACTAGAAACACATGGCCAGGTGGTTAGGGCGCTCGACTCACAATCCGAGGGTCGCGGGTTCGAATCCCCGTCACACCAAACA